CTGCTGAATTATTATTTAGTGTTGGAGGATGAGTTTTACAGGTTTACAACTTATTTCATTAGGGAACTGAAGAGATAAATTGTCTTCCCAAGGCCTTTATAAACAGTTTGCTACTTAAATTTTATAGACTGAAATTCTGCATATGAACCTTACTTTCCTTGGATTATCTGAAGCCTGTAAGTTTAAAAAAACTGGGGAGTAAAACATATTGCATAAACATAACACCTGCAAACAAAGTATGACTTGCAACTGAATGATGACAAGCATTGTAAACACCAAAGGAGCCTGAAGGAAGAAATTCAAGAAGAGCAAATATAAAATATACAGTTAAGAAGTGTCCTAACAGAGATAGACAGGCAAGCTCAAGGGAAAAACGGTACCAGCAACATGAGTAAGATGTCCACCTTCTGACAGTGGACTGGATGACCAGACTGACTGCTGTGGGAACATAGCAGGTGCAATCATTTGAGCCTTTTTCCCTCACCCCCCCTCCAAAGGAAAACCCCTGGCAGGGACCCTATACGTAGAAATGAAATGTCAAACAGTTAGTACAGTGCCTGTCACATAGCAGATATTCAACAAACACCCATTTCTATTCCATTTTATACTGAAGTTGTTGAGAAAGCATTTACTTCAAGTACGTCTGCTTTCTAGCCCTGTTTTCTGAAACAGTCATTCCACTTAAGGTATAACAATCAAATAAGTCATATACACAAGTCATATAGATATGACTTACTATACATATATATATATATATATGCATATATAGTAACATAGTTATAAAACACAGATAACAAGATAAAATCACAAAAGAAATTTTTCTATATTACAGAAATGGGCTTAATTTTTGGGGGCACCCATTGTCATCTTAATTTGGTTTTATTAGGAGAAAACAGAGTAACATTTCTATCCCTGGGCAGATCTGACGTGAAAATAATTGACAAAAGTAGGTCAGAATCCCATGGAATGGTGAGGTCTGAATGCTAGGTGTCTTATATTAGGTTATAAATCCTGACAGGCAATAATGACAGGATCTTCTGAAAGCCTTTGAAGTTCACTAGGGCAGTCCCAACTTGTTTAGTTAAAAGCAGCCGCAAGGTAGGAAATAGAACTTCATGTGACTCTGGCTACCCTGATGTGTCTTAGATAAAAACTGAAGTCATCATGCTCCTACTCTTTTTGCTGGCTTTGTTTTCACAAAAAATATCCTCTCCTTACCCACATACACTTCTGGTAGGCTTTGGAATGTGTCCTTTAATCTAAAAGATAAAAAGGGCACTTAAAGAGATCAACGAATTGACTAGAAATCTGTTGGGAGCTTACGGCCTTTCCCCTATTCTAGATGCAATTTCTCTCCCTGGGTCACCTGTTTTTGGTAAAAATAACTCAATTCTTTTTTATCTAATATACTAAGCAGAAATCACTTGGCAGTGTAGTGCTGACTGAGTTTTTCCTTGGATAAAACTATTAGCAACTTGTAGCTACTTTACTAGGTAATATCAATATATAAACAAAGAGAAAAACATTCATTTCTTTTAATTCATTAACTATGCTTATTTGTGTGACACCTATATATTGGTTTCCCATAGAGAAAAACTGCCATAAAAATTTAAGGTCCAATTTAACATGAATATTAGTTAAAAATACACTTTCATAATTTAGAGTAAGGTGAATGATACATCTGTTTCCATTCTAAAATGATCCTTTTCTAGTAATTTTTATAATATTTTCTCACATGAAAATTATCTTCTCAACAAATACTTATTATAGCATAGTATCCTACTTGAGAAATTTTTAAAAAATGTGTCACTCTCAACTACTTCTTACCTCAAAGTTTTCCTCTTTAAGATTTATATAAATTAATTGAGTTCATGAATGATAAAGGAACAGTGTTAAATATCCAGAAGAAAGAAGTTCAATGAAGACTATTTCATGGCTTCAAGCACTGAATATCAGGATGTTAAAATCATTTGATATCAGATAAACAAAAGGATTTCTTTAAAAAACAAGAAACCACTGCCACCAAACACATTTTCCCAAATGGCCTGCCTCGCATTCCAGAGCTGACAGAAAATCAGGTCTGTGAGGAGACAGCAGCTGAGCTGCATACTCCAGAGTTAAGTAAAAACATGGGAGGCCGGATAACACATGTGAAAGAATACATTTAATTTTAACAAGGCAAAGAAATGAGTTTTAAAAGGTGGTGGTGGTTTAACTGAGTGTGTCTTTTAGTTCCACTTGAAAAAAAGGTGTAAGTTTTTCCTCTAACTGCTTCCCAACAGTTCAATGACAGCAAAACTTTAAATCTATGGTGGTGCTGGAGTTCTTCTATTAGGGACAGGAGGGATGCAACTTCATGAACTTTTTTTAATCTGCAGAAAGAAAGGGGGAGGAAAAAAAAGACAGAGAGAGAGAGAGAGGGAAGAAACAAAAACTAATTTTCCAGGCAGGGAAATACTTATAAAACCTTTTATGTCAAAGTTAGGATTTCACAACATAACACACTAATGCAAAATCCAGTAGCACCTGTAAGATTTAAGTAAATGCTGCCATCACGTAAATGCTTTTTAAAAAGTATCTGTAAAAGACTGAAGGAAAAAAAGATACATTCTCCAGAGAACAACAAATGTATTTCAAAATAAAAACTGTATTTTTGTTTTTCTTTTTTTCAATTGTCTTTTTGTACAAGAATTCATAGTTATAATAATTTACACAATATGGGATCAATCTCTGCTCTCCTTTTCTGTGTCACTTCAAGTCCACATGTTCAGGCTATAGTCCCCAACATTTTCTGATAAATATATTACCACAGTTTGATCTAAATATACATTATATAATACTTGTCTCTGGGAAAAATCAAATTTTAATATGCAAACTTTTATTTATATAATACAGAAATGAAGAAAACTACAGTAGGCACACAACCTAATTATGACTTGTAGATGATGATTTCTAGATACTCTCCTACTGTAAATGAATGTTTAAAATAGTCTTAATAAGAAAATTTTATTTATATGTGCACTTGTGTCCACCTTATCCCATATACTGTACACGTCTAATGACAATCTGGGAATTTAAAGGTGCAGCCCTCAAGAAATTGTTGAATCACTAAAAAAAGAAAAAATTAGACTCTATTGGAAAGGAAAAAAACTCACAAAATTTCCAATTTTAGATTTCATGTCCATAGGAAAATATTAAAAATAATTTTCTGTATATACATATGAGTATATGTATATATTGAATTACAGATGTCTCATATATCAATACAATTCAAGTGGAGACATTTTGGTGAGTTATTTTCCCATTAAATGACAACTATGTCAAAATTTTAAAATATCTTATTACATCATTAAAATAATTCACTTACCATTTCAACAGCTTACCCTATTTTTTTTTAATTTTTAACTCTTCATAACCAAATTTCCTGATCCCTAGTGCTAAATCCCCTATTTAAATTAAAATCTGGTGCTCTGTTACTCAGAAACTGATGGATAAAATCACATCTACTTCAAAATTCCATCAATCAAATAAATGTTATTACCTGATTTATCAGAGAAATAGCTCTGAGCTTGTGTACCTAAATTATCCTCCCTATTATAAACAGGTGAGGCAAATACCCTAAAATAGATGGAGGTAACTTACATGATATTATAGCACATATAATACAAGATGATTAAGTGTCTAATATAAACTTTTCAGAGACACTTGGAAACTCACTTTAGAAACTAACTTTAGAAACAAACCATTTATTTTTCACTCTAATATAAATATGTATGTATTTACATACATACACATACATATATATAAAACAAAATTGTCTAGTGTTGATTAGCTGTTTGTGAGTGAAAAAATGGTTACAAATTGATTAACCAGCTTAATTCTGTACTTAACAATTCAACTGTTTTGGGGTACAAACAAAAAGTCAGTGCATTTGTAAACTCCATGGAGTCAGATACTCAAGCATACACTTTAAATAAGAACCCTCCTCAACATCACAAGCATTGGACAGCAAGAATATATGGACTCTGATGCAGTTCCTACTCCATAAGCAGACTAGACAGCACTTGACTTACTTTTAAAACAGTTTCTTAAAAGAAATATATAAAGAAATGTATGTTCGCTAAAAGTCCTTTAAAATTACCTCAAAACAACATTAAATCCTGTTCACTGAGAAGAGCCCGCTGACTTGAATTCCTGTTTTGAAATGCCTAGTTAACAGTTTAGAATATTGCCTTGTGAGGATTGACTAGAGACGTGGTTGATGTGAAGACCCAGACAGAGTACACGGCTCCAATCCCAATAGTCCTCTGATTGGCTGCTTGATGGAAATGGATCGCCTTTAAAATAGCTATACATCTTAAAATGATCTATAATAAACAGTTTCCCAACAACCATTATTATTTGTAAATTGAAATGCATTAATCATTCAGAAAAGATTTCTTGCAAAATATATAAATAAATGTAACTGCATATTCTGTAAATGTACTTAACATTGCTAGACCAGACCGCCAGTGACGGGCTGCTGTATTTCAGTACTGTGTGTCAAATTTATTAGAAATTTAAAAAGAAAAATTTTGGAGGGACTCAGCTGCCTTCATTAGTTGGCTTTAAAATGTGTAATAAAATGGGAGACAATATCTTCTCATAAATACATGGAATCAATATGGAAAAGTAAACTATACAGCAGACAAGATTAGAGAACACCAGAGTGTACCAGAGTGGTCACCAGAGTGAAATATCTTCCAGTATAAAAAAAGGGAAGAACTCTATACACCCAGTTATAGTAAGTATGTTTCAATTAAAGATGCAGCTCACTCTCACTCCTGGCAAGAATTAATTGGTAATGGCACTGCTGCCAGCAGTGCAAAAATATCCTGAGAAATTATTCAGATTACAACAAAAGACAGGGCTTTCATCACTAAGTTTTTGCACAAAACACAGCTTTAGATATCATAAATAAATTAATTTAAAAAGCAGATAACCTCACTGTGTTGAACACAAAAAGGGGATGTGACCCAGACATTTGTTAACTCTCCCATTGGCTAATATCAGAAAAAAGATTGCATTAAGTGTCTGTTTATAACTTTCTAGTTAACTATGGCCAATAATATACATGGAGGTAATCTGTAGTTCAAGTTTTTCATCTCTTTTTCCCCAACTAGCTACAAGCTGAACTCTAAAATTTACACTGAAATATACAATTCCAATTTTCAAAAGATCCTCCTCCTGGACAAGGGATATTCAAATTTTTTGTGCAATCTTGATGCAGAGCCCAAACAGTCCTATGAAGAGAGACAGTATATTTTTTAATCAATTGGCACTGAAATTTAACTTTCCTTAGCTGCGTTCTAGTAGCTTGGCCAAGTTATCTCGTAATTCTGTTAGTTCAAAGATTTTTCCATCAAGAATTTCTAACAGTGTCTTCAGGTTATTGCGAAAAGCTTCTTGTTCATTCTGACTTTTCTCCAGACGTTGCTCCAAGTCAGACAGTTGTCCCTCCAGGTCTTTGTTCCGAATTTCTACTTCCTTTAGAAACAAAAGTGTAATATATATGTGTGTCAGTTTAAGACTTAAACAGTATAACTTTTGTTATGACTAATATTGTGGTGGTTAATGCAGTTTGATAATTAGGATGACCTTCTGAGTCTCAATACAATTTAAGGAGGTTTCTAGATTTTGTCATCTGAGAAATCCATGTGGTTTTATTGATTGGCTTGTTCATGAATACATCTGTCCCCCCAATGCAAATTTCCTGACTGCTTGCTTTGTGCCAGGCAACACTAGTCTAGGCACTTCAAATACTGAGATCGGATGAAGACCCATTTTGTGGATTATCTGCGTCTCTTTTCTATTTCTGCCCATGTTCTTTTCCTCTGGCACAATTGTTAGCAATTTCAGATGAAAGCAGGCAGAGAAAAAGAGAGAAATTATTTTTTTCTCCTTATGGAAATTTTGGAGAAAGATGTAGAGAAGAAAAATGACTCAAATAAGGTTTTAAGATTCTCTGAATATGTTAATTATTCTTTGTTTCGCCTCAATATCAAATGAATGCATATGGTAGAGAATATAGCTCACCTGCTAAAAACTGTAGTGAAGACATATAATAACTGTACATATAAGAGAATTATACAACTAACAATTCCAATATACTGCAGATTAAGGAAAGAAAAAAATGACAAAAGGGAAGTAAAAGTTCATGACAACAAAAAAATTTTTAACTTTTTAAACAGAATAAAATCTGGCATACTTAAAAATTATTTAGAAGTTACTATATATCTGAAGGACAGTAGACTGCTTTTAAAAAATTATTGAAAGGCAATCTGGTAAATGTTAAATGAAAATAGAACATGAAGCAGCACACTGCAATGAGGCAAAAATTAGTATGCATGAGGACAAACAATAGGAATTAAAGTACACACAGAAAATAGGAAACAGTTCTGGTTGTTGGGATTATGAGCACTTCTTTCCAAAATGTATTTATCCAAAATTAAACTTTTGAGAAAAATAATTGGAAAATTGACTTGAATACATATAAGAAAGTAACCATTGATTTAGCATTCTCAACACAAAGAAATATTCACATGTTTAACTAAGAGCAAAGCTCAAGCAAAAGGACACCACAGATGAGTCGAAGAGCCTGGGAAAATACAAAAAAGGGAAAAAAGCAGTTATAATGACTTATAAAGAAAGAATTTAGGGAATTCCAATCTAATCTTAAAGTATTTACTGTTAGATGTTAAACAGGTATGTTTCTAATCTTTTTCCTTTGAATAATCTACAAGGTGAAGATAAGTAAACTGAGAGCAGATTCTGAAACCAATAAAATATTTATAAATTCAGAAGCCAAGTTCATGGAGGCTCTAAACTATGGGGGAGAAAACAGACCCTGGGATCAAATGTAAAAATTCCACTCATGATTGCACAGCATGCTCTCTTGCCTGCTTAAACAATAAGCTTAAGAGTACTGTAGAAAAAAAAAAAAAAAAGAGTACTGTAGAATGTTTCCAACTGTAAATATAGACCAAATGTCATTCACTAGAAAACACCCACTTCAGCAGGCACCGCCCAGTTTGCCCTCTAAAGCCGTCCTTAAAAATGAAAGGCTTCCTTGTTCTCCTTGCCAATCAATGAAACATCCAACCATTTTCAGTGGAAGCAAACAAAACACCAAATTCCCTCAGCTATTAAAATTGAGCTGTTCTCTCCAGGAGTCTTGTGCTCTAAGCCATTTCTCTGATGGAGGAATTTCACTAGGCCCGTAACAAAAGGGATCCAATACAATGCTGTTGGTGCTGGTCTATTCTGAGGCAGAGAATAAGATCCCAGAGGAAGAACAGGCAACCTAGGATCAGTATGAAGCAACCTGATTGGTGGCATGTCCCAGTTTTCTACCTTCTGTCTATATTTTCCATCCCTTCTTCTTGACTTGTATTCTCCATCCCAACTCATTCTTCTGCTTATTATCATTTTTGTGCTACTATTTCCCCTTCTCCTTTACTGATATGTGAGCATATGCCAGGGGCGCCAAGATAAAGCACTAAGGCCAGAATTTGCTAAATCCCTTTTGAGTGCTTTAAAAGGCAGTAACTGAAAGTGTATAAATACAAATGCTCTGTATTTGTTAGATATGGAGTCTACAACACTACAGTGATTAAAAAAATGTAGACAATTATTACCACCATCAACGGGACCAGGTCAGGTTATAAATTTAAATCTTGCATCATTTAATCTAAATAAAAGCTACAAAAAATTGTCTTTATTAATATCTGATTCACACCTTAAACTCTTAAAAGTAAGATAAATTATTGTTCTATTAGATTATTAACCTTTCATATATAACATGACATAAATCATCAAAACAAGCATTAATAATTCAACAGAAAAATGGGTAAAAGAAGTTATTCAACAATTATTTACTGAGTGTCTTCTACATACTAGGCACTGAAGATAAAGTAGAAAATAAAGACAGGCCCTGTTTTGATGGAGCATGCATTCTAGAAGGAAGATACTGGTAACAAAGAAGTCAACAGAACAGATGTCTGTGTAACCGAGGAAATCACTGTGTGCACTGAAATCTTTCAACCATCTTTCCAAACTGTAAACCAATAATAAGAACAAATAAAATGACACGAATTCCACAACTTCAACTAGAAGAAAGAGAACAATACAAACTTCAAGTTCCCTATAATTAGGAGATATAAGCACCAGTTTCTAGCAAAGATATCTCTCAAGTTCTTATTCTCTTCGCAGAGGGCAAGGCAGGGTTGTGGGGAAATGCACAGAAGAAGGAAGAGGAGAATGAAAGGCCTAAGACTGAACTCTAATAATCCAAAGAAAGAGAAAGACCACTGAAAGTACCAAAATACTGGTGGAAAACAAAAAGTCCTGGTAGACCAGAGCAGCCTACAAGAAGCAAATTCACAGTGTACAGGACACTCGAGAAGGCAACATTGGAAAGGCATACTTCTGAGAGTAAAAAGAAGAGAAAGGGACTTTGGGGATAGCTAATTATAAAATAAATGGTCCGTCCACTGGGAAATTCATTTAGAAAGTCCAAAAATTATGATATGGCCAAAGGTATACCATGCAGGGGTTGTAATAGTGGTAGAAAAAGCGGCGAAGAAAGACACCTTTAATGCTAAAAGTGACAACACACAATGAAGATATAACAATTATGTTTATGTACCAAGAAACACAGTAGCCACCTTTATAAAGTAGAAACTACAGGAGGTCTAAGGAGACACAGAAAAAAGTACACTGATAAGAGCTTTTAATATTCCACTCTCAATATAGGGCAGATCAAGAGGAACAACAACAAAAAAGGTAAGGATATAGAAGCCTTAAACTACAAAATCAATAAAGAGCATTCATAAAACTGATCGTATGCTAGATTACACAAAAAATCTGTAAATTATTCAAAGCAGACATTACATAAACAAACCCTTGTGATCACAATGCAGTAAAACTAGAAATAAGTAACTAAATCATAAAACTAAAAGGCCCTTCCACGAGCAAATTAAAACACGTTCTTTTAAACACTTCTAGCGTGAAAGGGAAATAAAACCAAAATTACAGAACTTCAAGAAATAATGGAAACACTGTCAGAATCTATGGGACACATTAAAGCAATGACCAGAGAAAAATCTATAGCCTTAAACACAAATAAATAAAAATGAAAATAAAGGAATTAAATTCCCTTCTCATAATGCTAGAAAAAGAATAAAAAAGTAAACCAAAATAAAAGGCAGAAATAAAGATAAAAGTAAAAATTCATTAGGTAGAGGACAGAAAAAGAGTAACACTAATAAGTCAAAATCTCCTTTCGCAAAAAGCTTAAAATAGACATATCATTACTTAAGAAAGAAAAGAAAAAAAAACTATATAAAATAAGAAATTATAAGAGTTCCCACTGAATATTTGAAAACCCAGATGTAAAGCTTAAACAGCCCAATATCTGCAGAAGAAATAGAGAGTAATCATAAAATTACTCCATAAAAAGCACTAGGCCCAGATGGTTTCAAGGGCAAGTTCTATTAAAATTTCAAAGACCAGACAGTTCCAATATGACATAAGATATTCCAGAGCATAGAAAATAAACAAAATCTTCCAAATTATCTTATGAAGCTAGTATAGCCTTGATACCTAAATCTTATAATTCAGCCCCCACCTGAAAAAGGAAGAAAGTTACAGACCAATATTACAAATGAATATCATGTAAAAACTGTAAATAAGAGGGAACAAAAATCTGGTACCACATTAATAAAATGATACAGCACAGCTAAGTGGTATTTATTCTAGGAATGCAAATGTGGTTCAGTTTTAGAAAATCCATTAATAAAATAAACCATATTAATGGATCTGGGGATAAAAACTATGATTATCTAGATAGATACTAAAAAAGCTATTAACAAAATTCACTCATTTGCGGTAAAAACACTCAAGAAAATAGAAATTAGCCACTCTCATAATATGGTAAGATACGTATATTTTAGTGGTAAAGCCAGCATTTCAATTAATGGAAAAATATTAGAGGCATTTCCACAAAGATCAGGAAAAAGATAAGTCTGTCACCTCCACTATTGTTTAACACTGTATTTTTGGTTTGTTTACTCCTCAGAGCATGTTTTTTTTTAACATCTTTATTGGAGTATAATTACTTCACAGTGTTGTGTTAGTTTCTGCTGTAAAACAAAGTGAATCAGCTATATGCATACGTATATCCCCATATCCCCTCCCAAATGAGTCTCCCTCCCTCCCACCCTCCCTATCCCACTCCTCTAGGTGGTCACAAAGCACAGAGCTGATCTCCCTGTGCTATGCAGCTGCTTGCCACTAGCTATCTATTTTACATTTAGTAGTGTATATATGTCCATGTCACTCTCTTACTTCGTCCCAGCTTACGCTTCCCCCTCCCCATATCCTCAAGTCCATTCTCTAGCAGGTCTGCATCTTTATTCCCATCTTGCCCCTAGGTTCTTCATATCCATTTTTTAAAATTTTAGATTCCATATATATGTGTTACCATA